TTTTTTTAAATTGTAGAGTTATTTCATTATTGTATAAAAATAAGTGTTCTTATGTAGTAAACTATACGACCAAAATAATAAAATATATGCTATTTTTCATACAAATTTATATTAATTTTAAATATATTACTTTTAATAATATTTATTTTATGTATTAAATTAATATTAGAAATGAGATCTTAAGATAAAGATTAGATAAAATAAATTACTTTGACATATCAATTGGAGTACAATAAGGTAAAGATGTTAATGCTATATCTCAAGTTGCCACATAAGGTTTTAAAATTTAAATATGGTATATCAATTTTGACATCTCAATCGGACATGTGCTCTTATGCTTTAGTTATACCAATTCTTGCACGGGTCAGATTGAATCCTTATGCTTTGTACCGACACATATCATGATGGTTGCAATTAGAATAATCTTATTTGACTTTATTAAGTTTTATTTGATTTTTTAAATTTTTTAATATTTTTAGTACTAAAATTGGAGAAGGGCAATTATAAAAATAATAAAAAAATTTTGGATGAAATTATCAATTTCTGTTAGTAACATTGAAGGAAGAGAGACACAGAGGGTCTTCGTGTTATTTATAAAATGTCAGGAGGTGTCTATGTAATATTGTCAAAACTCAGGGGATGTCTGTGATTTTTACTATGTTTTAAAATAAACATTTTGAATTATTGTATTTCTAATAAATACAGTTAGTGGTTACGAGGATTTGTTGATAACCAAAAAATAAATGTATGTGGATGTGTTTCTGTGTATATTTATATGTGAAAAATTGAACATCTTGTGATTAAATTTATAATTATATTGTGTCATTTGAGGTTGAATGGTGATAGTGATGATAAATTCATTAGTTTTATAAACAAATAAAATTTGATTAATTTTATTTATCATTTAAAATTTGTGAATTTAATTGTATTCCATTAATATATATATATATATATATATATATATATATATATTTTTTTATTTTTTTATTTTTTTTTTTTGCTTGACGTATTTATTACATGAGAATAAGATGGATTGAAAATATGAAGGTTGAGTTTATAATTCTATTGTGTTATTGGATTGAGTGGTAGTAGAGATAATAAATTCGTAAGTCGTCTAAATACGCAAGATTTATTTATTACTTAAAGATTGCAAATTTCAATAGATTATGTTAGTATTTGTTTTTTTTTCTAGAGACATTTGTATATATGGTGTTATTTAAATGGTTTATATATTTTTATGACAGTTCCATTACTATATTTCGAGCCATTTTGAAAGAATAATTGGTATAAATATTTTTAGGTTATTTCTTTAGAATTTGGACAATTATTTAAAAAAAATTTATTTCATGTATGGTGCTTTTAGGCATGAGCAATGATTATTATATATATATTGGATAAAATTATAAGTAAATTGAATATTGTTAGACCGGTAGTAGTATATTTGGATTGAAATAATTAGTTAAAAAATCCAATTTATGTTCAAGTAGTCAGATTGAAATAAAAATTATATTTACTTTCCTATATAAATAGTTAAGCTGCAAAAAAAAGGGCGCATAGAATTTTGAGATGTGAGAAACTCCCTTAACCTAGAATTATATCCCATGCATTCTTTTCTAACAAGGAATTCTAGCTTTCCTAATTTAAGTGGGATTCAGATATTTCATATCAAATGGAACTCCACATTTCTTAATGCTTTATATATATACTAGTAATTGCCCGTGCCTGAAGGCACTATGTAAAACAAAACAATCGCAAGCAAATATTATTGTGCACAAAGGTGTTTTATAACTCAAACAAAAATTCAAACGATAAAAAATTTCATTGATTCAAATAATAGAAATTATAATATGTTTCAAATACTAACTTGCTAAACAATCAAAAGAAACCAAAATTATAGAAAAAAAAAATTTCTGAGTTCTATCATGCCCTTTTGAATACTTTAAATTCTTTATGAGAAAACTAAATTAATAACCGATCCCACCTTAATTTTTAGGTGCCAAACATGGTGAGACTTTAAAATTGGACACATTTTGAAAATATAATACATAAATCCACTTTAAAAAGAAGCTACTGCCATCTTAAAAATATTTTCTAATTCAAATCATTTTTTTAATTTTTTCATAATGTTGTTTAGTACATGAAAACCATTGCAGCAACAAACCCACCAAAATAAGATTTCTTTAAGAAAATGAAGTTTGTTTTTCTTTTGAACCATAATCTCTGCCCATGAAGTGCATTGAAAACATAGAGAGAGAGAGGGAGAGAGAAAGAGAAAGAGAAAAGATGAGTTCAACATGTATATTACTATTTGAAGTGTTTGATCGTCCTTTAAGATCCAACCTTTGTAAATCAAATGTTGTTGTTCTTACAAAGATATAAGAGAAAACTAAGATTCAAGGCAATTGATCATATGTATCAAACCAATAGTAAATGTACCACACTTATAGTAATAATTCAACGCACCAGCTGAATCAAAAGTATCACCCACATATATTATGTTTCACCGGCCGAATTATGAGTTAATGTAGATGTTGAGATATATAGAACCAATCTCAACAATTATCTCCTAATTTTTTTTTGAACAATGACTATCTCCTAATTCATGTGACTCCACCAAAAGAAATAAAGTAAAGAAAAAAATCCCACCAAAACTTCAACCCCAATTGCATAAATCTCACCCGAATTCCGATAAAATATAAAAAAACAAAAGACAAACACATAAACATAGAATTAAATAGTCAAATATTCAATTATCGATAGGTAAAACTACATTTTTAATATCAGCATTTTTTAAAGGGCTGTTCTTGATGGCAGCTTGGGGTAGGCCTTCTTTGAATGAACTGAAAATAACTAACAAATGTGATGTAAACTCTGAGACTTGGATGAACATATGAAGATGATGTACATAAACCTTGGTTTTTTACCACCAACAAATTCTCTCAAATTCAAAACAATTTATACACTGTAATCCAACATTGTTTGTGAATAAAGTAATAAAAATAAAACACTGATTTTCAACATGAACAATGACTCAAAAATATGAACTCAAAAACCAAAAAAAATTAAGTCTCATTTCATTGCTTGTTGAAAGAAAAGAAAATAATAAAGCATTGGGAAAAAAGTCTGCACTCGGTTAAGTACAGTCAACCACTAATTGCCTTAATCGAATTGAAATATAATATCAAAATAACCAAACCACTATTAAAAAAGAGAGTCATATCATTGAACTAACGGAAAAATCCATAACAAAGAATAGAAGAAAAGCACTGAATATTGAATAAACAATATTACCCCAACAAATATCACCACCATTAAAGAAGAAACTTAACCACACAGGCACTCATTAATTGTAATAGAGAGAACTAAATAGACATATACAAATAGGCACCCAAGATCCCACTGGACAAAACATTTGGCTTGACAACTCAACGAACAGTTGGTGTGCAGGGCTTTCGAGTGGGGGTTACGACAGTGGAGAATGTTTCTGTGTGTGTGAGAAAGAGAGAGAGAGGGGGGATACAAATTAATATTAAGGGAGAAAAGATGTGTGAGATACCTGAAATAGGTGCTAGACCTAACAGTGGCTGAGCCGCTGCTGTTGCCTATTGTTGGTAGTGGCTGTCGACAACAATGAATGAGAGAGAGGAAAACGATGGCTATTGAAGGTGTGGCCATTGAAGGAGTGATTGAGACTGGGCGTGAGAGAAAGATTTCCTCAAGAGGGGATATCATAGGTTTGGAGAGGGGATGCTGTGTAAAGATTTTCCCGAGAGGGGATTTGGGCTTGAGGGCGCTCGAATTCAAAAATTAAAATTTTTAAACAAAATAGGACATTTATTTTTTTGGTCATGAACAAAATAGGACATGAAATAGGTGACTAAACAAAATTATGGCAAGAAGATGTATTAGGGAATGAATTGGGGGAATTTAATTTAGGAATGTTAATTTTGGAAACTAAATTTTTAGCGGAAAAAATATTCTAAGAATTAATATAGTACGTCGGATTGAAACGATCTGAAACGTCAATAGCTTGAGACAGTTTATGATAACGTCGACCGTTGGATGATGCTTTGTTTGATTTTGAAATGATCTCAACCGTTCTTTGTCTACAAAATTTAAAATCGTTTTACTTTGTTATATAGATATAGATATATATATATATATATATATATATATATGTAGAGAGAGAGAGAGAGAGAGAGAGAGAGAGAGAGAGAGAGAGAGATATCTTTTACACGCTAAAAGAATTCGATTCTCACCCTCCTCTTGTGTTCGGTCGGCAGTTCTAAGAGAAGGTCAGTCTTGGGCAGCGGCCGGGTATAAAGGGTATCCCTTGGGTGGTTCTGTGCTTATCAAATGGCGGATTTGTGTGGAAGAAGAAGAAGAAAGTATAGACAGATAAGCGGTGAGAAAGTGGGGTATCTGCCACAACTACCATCGGAAGTCATGTCCGATATCCTGTCTAGACTTTCTATGGTGTCAATCTTGAGATGCAAAACCGTGGGCAAGGCTTGGTGTGGCTTAATAACAGATCCTTATTTTGCTAACTTACAGCTGAGTAGATCAAACGATCAACCTCCCCAAGTCATCATTTAGCCCGATGACGTTGAGACAAAACAAGGTGTAATAAAAAGTCAATACTTGCTGGATCCTGAAGAATGCAAAGCGGGAGCGATCCCTGAAATTCCTCTTGAGGATGCAATTGCAAAGAGATCACTTGGTCTTAAGGTCATGTGTTCTTTCAACGGCTTACTTTGCTTGGCTCCAGAGAAGGATCTACATCCTATTGTGATCTATAATCCAATAACGAAGGTATACAGAGTTTGGCCTAAAACCAAGGCCACTAAAACGATAGTAGAGTTTCATCAAATCGGTTTGGGTTTTGATCCTTCAACCAACAAGTACAAGGTAGTTAGAATATATAACTGCAGAGACGAAGGTGGGTGCAGGTTGGCTTCCGCCTGTGAAGTTATTACATCCGGAGAAATTTCATGGAGGAAAATAGTTGTCCTAGCTGACACTGATAGAGTACTCTTCAGCGGTAGTCAAGGACCAGTTGTTCACAATGGTTCAATTTATTGGACCATTGTCAGGACATGTCACCCCTTCGACAGAGAATTGATTCTTCGTTTTGACATAAGGAAGGAAGTGTTTCAGGCAATCTGTTTTTATCCATATATAAAGGCTCCTCCTGATCAATGTAGGTATCGTGCTCGTAATTTGCAGTTACAGATTTTGGGACAGGGTTTGTTCTTACTTGATCATGATGGCGAGTTTTTGCATTCATGGAGATTGACACTGCTTGATAGCGTGGATGGCACCATGTTTCGGTATAATAACTCAGTGAAGATGAAGTTCCCAAAGCGTGGATGGCATTGGTATATTCAGTCCTTTGTTTGTATGCCAAGTCCAGGGAAATTCTTGCTGGAGAGAGTTGAGTCCGAAAGGGCCGGAAGTCATCAAGATCTCAAGCTTGTTTATTATTCTTCTGAGCATGGTAAATTCTTGAAATTAAAGGTTTCGGGGCTCCCGGAGTGGTATAGATCTAGGTGTTTTAAACCCAGTCTCCTTCCTGTTGAAGGGGTTTTTCCCACTCACTTGTGATGGGCCTGGTGAACTGGAATATTCATAGTTTATTATGCATTTAAGATCTGAAACATAAAGCAATGAATTTGATTCTTTTCCCAGTTTTATTACCACTTAACGTGTCATAAGCACAATAATTATATGTTTAATAGTTTTCATTAGACTCGCTAATCTAATAATTCACATTGAGGTGATAGACTCGGTAATCGAATGGTCCAGGTGGAGTAAAATTGTAGTGGGAATAAAANTGCTAATCTAGTAATTCACATTGAGGTGATAGACAATGGTCCAGGTGGAGTAAAATTGTAGTGGGTATAAAATTGTTATTATTGACATCTTTATTCGTAAAACCTGTGCTGTTTTATATATTTACTTCCCTAATCTGCATTGGAATTTTTTAATGTACAGAGTCATCTTACGGTTCATGGAGCTGACGGCCAATTCTGTTATTTGAAGCACTCCATTTTCTAAAACTTATGAAGAGATCATGTGTGATGTTGAGTCAACGTATTTGTTTTTCTCTTTTTTTTTTTATAGTTTGTCATACTCAAATTTATAGTTCCTAGTAAATATACCTCCATAAAAAGATATTGAGGAAGAAAGCAGACACTTTTTTTAATAGAATAGAAAAACAGATCCAGAGTTATCACCCTTGCCACCAAACGTTTGAATAAATGGATGGGTTAATTGCATCGGAAGTCATGAAATTAAGATATTTATCTTATTTTGGTCTTAATATTTCAATTGCATCATTTTAATCTCTAAAATATTGAATATATTTTTATGTAGTCCCTCAACCGGATAGAGTCCAGATTTTTAGTGGTTTTTGATCATACACTTGTCATGTGACACTTAAATATAGACAAAAAATAATTTTGGTAGCTCTTGACCAAAACTGTATAATATGGGTACTTTTTGACAAAAATTTTGATATCTCATGATTAAAACGGTGTAATTTGGATAACTCTTGGCAAAAAATTATTTAAATTATTTTTTTTGCCCATATTTAGATATTACGTGACAAGTTTATGATAAAAAATCGCTATGAATTTGAACGTTGTCTACTTGATGGACCACATAGAAATATATTCAATACTTCAGGAATTAAAATATTATGAACCAAAATAAAATAAATCTCATACTTTAGGAACCTCTAATACTATTAACCCTAAGGGTGTGTTTGGCAAATCTTTGGTGGATATGATTGGTTTGGATTCTTAATTCAAACCTATCCAATGAAAACCCAATAAACCGGATATAGATAGGATATAAATGAATTGGTGTAATCTTATACTTGATTTGAAAAGTAATTTGTTATATTATGGGGCCCACAGATAAACCATTGTATTTGTTGGTCAGCTCTCTTTACTTTCACATTAATTTACAATTTTAACATTCAATCCTATTCAAGCCAAAGTCAATGTTGGCTTTGGAATTTTATTTATGTTGTCCACCTTAATATTTCATTTCATTTTGCAGCTGTGTCACCAAAAGGAAAGATCGAACATAAATCGGTTTGAATTTTTCCAAATTTTCACAAATGCGACCACATTAAGTTCCTCAAAATATTGTGCCACAATGTTTTGAAAAAAATAAGAACAATGAAATACACAATTCAATATTACATAAACATATTTTATTTACACACGTAGCCTTATACAAAAATGTCCAAAAAATAAGGCAGCGTATTCAGTAAGTACATGTAACTAATATGATCATATTCCCTGTTGCCTTGAATTGTACATACAAAACAAAGACAACCATATACGTTAATTACAGTGAAACTACATGCACACACGCTATTGTGTGTGGCATAAAAATCAAAATGGCTCAACATAATTACCTAGGTAGATACACATATTTTAATACATACAAATATTTAAAGTTACTAACAAAATGTGTTTATAACGATCGTAGAAATAGTCAATCATCGATCACTATAACATCAACTGTCTGGGCAGAGTTAACAGAGGGTAACGACCCAACACTATCGCTGTCATGATAGCTTGTACTTGCTCTATCTTTCTTGAAAATAACACCTAAATACTGAAAATTCGGGCATGGTGCTAGACAAATATTGTGCAGCAAAAACATCTTCCTACATGCAATAACATGCAACCATGTGTTAATGTAGTGGATAACTACGACAACAGCCATAAATTGTTATTAATGTAGGGAAGCTACAAACAATGAAATAACTTATTTCCAAGTACTCATCTGTTTCATTTCCGGGTCCTTTGACAACACACTTCTTCAACGACTCTTGTGAAAAAAAGCCACAATCAAGCATGGCAGAAATTGTGTAGTAATACCTCTCCCAAAAGAAAATAATTCGTAGTAGGTCAGTTAAAGACAAGTTAAATCCTCGCATGCGTCGTTTAAGTATGTGCAACACATCATCCACCAAATTGTGTGTGTAACGCCCCAACGGTTATAATTTCCCTCTACTCTTGAACTAAATTAGTGTGTCAATTAGGACGTCCGATTCATCCTTCGTAATGATTGAGATCTTCATTTACAACTACAACCATATAATTTACATATTAATTGGGCTATATTGTGTATAAGTTACGTGTAATAGTATCATAAAACGAATCACATTCATACATTTTATACACATGCAACTTTAAAATATATAACAATTATATGTATAGACAACAAAAAGATACTATTATCCATATTCACCAAATACATAACATACTAATGTTGGCAAACTACATGTACTGCAGTCATTACATAGAAGCAGCCCATTCTTATGGTCGTTAGAAAAGTTGTTTGTTGTTAAGATAACAACATAAAATGAACCAATTCTCCACATAATAGAGTACACAATATGGGTTAGCACGATACCTATAATGAGCATGACTACACTTATCATGTACCAAATGAGATCACGTTTGTAGGCATTTGTTCCTACTACACGAACAACTGCTTTGTCAATGTTCCTACCACCATCTTGAATTATATTCTCCAAATGTGCATGCAAATGAAAAGCCATTGCATTTGGTACATCTACTTCCTACCGCGCAGCGTGCATGACAAATGCAGTATCTGCCTCAGCATATGAATCATAACATTTGTATAGTGCACCTGGATACCTATTGACATGCGTATGACATTCCACCTATGACTCGGAAATACCAACCTGTCTTCCAAAGAATACAACGTATCAATGTTGTTTCCCGTTCACATCTAATTAGACAACATTAATGCAGTTACTCACATATATTTTTCCATTAAGGCACTGGAATGCAAATAATGAACCACCTTAACATAGCAGCATACAATTCCAAATTAGATATTCTAAAACTACCAAAAGTTATTTGTACATAATATGAATATAACATAACCAAACCTGCATGGAAGTGTACATCAAGTGATATTGTGAATGACATTTTAAAGATAAATAGCAAAAGATACCAACACAAGCACCAACATACAATTACAACTGATAGGTAGTTCCAAAACATCCTACTTCATGATTTTAAGATTTCAAACACCAACATCAGTTACTCTCACGCCCACCACATATGGTTACCATTATGTCCAAAAAATCCCCAACTTGTATNCGCTAATCTAATAATTCACATTGAGGTGATAGACTCGGTAATCGAATGGTCCAGGTGGAGTAAAATTGTAGTGGGAATAAAATTGTTATTATTGACATCTTTATTCGTAAAACCTGTGCTGTTTTATATATTTACTTCCCTAATCTGCATTGGAATTTTTTAATGTACAGAGTCATCTTACGGTTCATGGAGCTGACGGCCAATTCTGTTATTTGAAGCACTCCATTTTCTAAAACTTATGAAGAGATCATGTGTGATGTTGAGTCAACGTATTTGTTTTTCTCTTTTTTTTTTTATAGTTTGTCATACTCAAATTTATAGTTCCTAGTAAATATACCTCCATAAAAAGATATTGAGGAAGAAAGCAGACACTTTTTTTAATAGAATAGAAAAACAGATCCAGAGTTATCACCCTTGCCACCAAACGTTTGAATAAATGGATGGGTTAATTGCATCGGAAGTCATGAAATTAAGATATTTATCTTATTTTGGTCTTAATATTTCAATTGCATCATTTTAATCTCTAAAATATTGAATATATTTTTATGTAGTCCCTCAACCGGATAGAGTCCAGATTTTTAGTGGTTTTTGATCATACACTTGTCATGTGACACTTAAATATAGACAAAAAATAATTTTGGTAGCTCTTGACCAAAACTGTATAATATGGGTACTTTTTGACAAAAATTTTGATATCTCATGATTAAAACGGTGTAATTTGGATAACTCTTGGCAAAAAATTATTTAAATTATTTTTTTTGCCCATATTTAGATATTACGTGACAAGTTTATGATAAAAAATCGCTATGAATTTGAACGTTGTCTACTTGATGGACCACATAGAAATATATTCAATACTTCAGGAATTAAAATATTATGAACCAAAATGAAATAAATCTCATACTTTAGGAACCTCTAATACTATTAACCCTAAGGGTGTGTTTGGCAAATCTTTGGTGGATATGATTGGTTTGGATTCTTAATTCAAACCTATCCAATGAAAACCCAATAAACCGGATATAGATAGGATATAAATGAATTGGTGTAATCTTATACTTGATTTGAAAAGTAATTTGTTATATTATGGGGCCCACAGATAAACCATTGTATTTGTTGGTCAGCTCTCTTTACTTTCACATTAATTTACAATTTTAACATTCAATCCTATTCAAGCCAAAGTCAATGTTGGCTTTGGAATTTTATTTATGTTGTCCACCTTAATATTTCATTTCATTTTGCAGCTGTGTCACCAAAAGGAAAGATCGAACATAAATCGGTTTGAATTTTTCCAAATTTTCACAAATGCGACCACATTAAGTTCCTCAAAATATTGTGCCACAATGTTTTGAAAAAAATAAGAACAATGAAATACACAATTCAATATTACATAAACATATTTTATTTACACACGTAGCCTTATACAAAAATGTCCAAAAAATAAGGCAGCGT